CCGACGGAAGCCTCTCCTCAGTGCAAGACATATGAAAGCCCGCATAGAGTTTGCCAAAAAACACATGAAGGACTCCCAGACTATGAGAAATAAGATTCTCTGGTCTGATGAGACCAAAATTGAACTATTTGGTGTTAATTCTAAGCGGTATGTGTGGAGAAAACCAGGCACTGCTCATCACCTGCCCAATACAATCCCAACAGTGAAACATGGTGGTGGCATGCAAAAATTTCTACATTTCTGTTTTTTTCTGTCAAGATGGGGTGCTGAGTGTACATTAATGAGAAATAAAATGAACTTTTTTGATTTTAGCAAATGGCTGCAATGAAACAAAGAGTGAAACATTTAAAGGGGTCTGAATACTTTCCGTACCCACTGTATATTCAAAATTGAATGTACTTCTTATCCTGTACTACAATGGCTGACCTATCGAAGACAAAGCGCATGAGCTGCAGGTTGAGGGTTGGAGGAATGCTGTGCAGTCTGATCCTGCGGGTTGCGCTCTGTTTAGTCTGACAGCTCTCACAGAAGTAGCGGTTCTCCCCATCCAACTTCTCCTCCTGCAAGGTGGAGGGCAGGGCACAACAAAGTTAACCAGTGTGAAACAACAAATACACACATCTATGAGAGCTGAAGATGTCAACAAGAATTTGTCTGTGTCGCTGAAGCTCAGCGATGGTAAGGAACACTAAATAAATGTAGACATCTTTTTATTTTTTTTAATTTATTTTTTTAATAAAAAAAACAAAAAAAAACGTCTACATTTATTTAGTGTTCCTTCCCATCGCTGAGCTTCAGTGACAGACAAATTTTTGTTGCTCCTACAAAGCTCAATTTGCCATGTGGAGTAACACAGATTTGTTATTTGTTGAAGCAGCTCAGGAAGAAACTAGGTGTGTCTGTTTGGATGCAGCCGATCTACCCGCTGATGAATACAAGCACAGCAGAATAGCTGTCCCATAAACACGAGACGGCGTAGAGGCCTGCATGTAGGGAATGAAAGCTACCTTCAGGAACTCTGTGACACACTCAGTGAGGTTCTTGTTGCCCTGGATGTTCAGCTCTAGCTCGTAGAATCGGGACGGCAGTGCAGATGATCGTCCACACTCGTTACAGCTGGAAAACAGACAAACCAAGATAACCCATTTCACCACCGCATAGAAAACAGCTCTATTGTATGGGCTACAATGATTTTGTCGATGGATACATTTTTGCAGTAATGATGCAATTTCAATATGAATGATTCAAATTGAATGTGGTGTGAGTCCTGAACTTCCATTTGTATCGGGCTTAATACTTCATTCCAATTCTTCTTATAAAAATCAAGTCAACAAAAAATAGCTGTATGCCTCTGCATGATTCATCCAAATGAATAAAAACTATAACCTTTATTAAACCAAGCCTTATAAAAATACCCCGTATCCATCTTGCGTCGTTAACATAACAACAAGGCTTCTAAATCCCTCAAGAATGTTAAATACATGGCTGTTAAACCTAATTTCCCCTCTGACTTGGACCACATCTGATAAAAGTGTTGCTCAACCAGACAGAGACCCTTAAAAACATCCTTAAGAAAGAACAATAGCATATAACAACAAGAAAACTCCCTTCCTTCACTCACCCAAAGCCTACACATTCCCCTATTCCATATTATTGCATCTGGCATGACCAAGTCAAATAAACAAACTTGTAACACATAAAAAATGAAATGCCCTTTATCCAAGTTATCATTAATTTGATGTAAAAATCTGTTAAGGTACAAGACATCTTCATACAGTACATGGGACATTACTGAAAAAAACTTGACAAGAATATGGAGGGTGATGGCAGAATGCTCAGAAACATCGATATGTTTCCCTAACTTGACAAGCCAGTAGAATTATTTTATCTCGTACACACCGACTGGCCACTTTCTGCTCGTCTCAATTCTTCCTCAAAACAAAGCTAATTATAGACTCTCCTCATCTCCAAAAAAATAGCACACACTATTTGCGATTGGTTCAGAAATGTGATCAAAATTCATATTACTTTGGCCTCTGGTTGCAATAGCACACAGTTCACAAAATAGAAGTTTCAACATTTTGAAGAGATCTGATGTCCAACACTTTATCATGGCACTTTTTGACTTGTGTTAGGTTCAAAACTTTGAGTCTTACACTGTAACGTAGGAGAACTGTCCACAGAACTGCCGCTGGATGACATTCTGCAGGTCGGGGTTCTTCTGCTCGGACAGCGTGTCCTCCAATAGAGACAAGAAGAGCTTTGAAAACTCCTGGGCATCCTTAAAATAAAAGGTTTCAATTCAGGTCAATTGTATTTATACAGCTCAATATCACAAACCACAAATTTGCCCCGGGGGCTTTACAACCTGTACAGTATACAACACCCTCTGTCCTTGGACCTTTGCAGTGGATAAGGAAACCCCCAACCCCCAAAAACTTTAACGAGGGGATAGGAATTCAATTGTAGTTTTCAGTTTGAATTAAATGCAGTGTAACAAAGTCTTGAAAACATATCCACGAATAAACATGCTGTCACTCCCATTCTGTGTAGATTCTGCTGTAACTAATAGTTGGTTAATCGTCTACTGTAGTTGATCCCCTGAAAATCTGTTTACACACTAATACACAGATCTACAGTCAGATGTAAGAGAGAAAAAAACGGGAATTTTCCTGTGAAACCAACCTTGTATTTCTAAATTAAAGTGAGGATGATTTACCTGCTGCTGTCCTGTGTCCAGGTCCAGTGCTTTGACCAGCCCTGAGGGGTCGATGTATTTTCTGTTGCTGTTCTGCATCAGTGTGAACAGATACTGCAGGTGCTCACAGATGGACTGAGGCTTGTAATCTGAAAGAGACCGAGATGTCTGTCTGAGACAATGAAATGCTTTCATCATTTAAAAAGGTCAAACATACGAGTTTGCAGTGTCCCGCTTGCCACAGTCATACTCCTTTTTAATAACAATGTTTGAGAAAAACATTTGGATTTGGACAATTGGATTGCCAATTCCCATGTGCAAACAAATTAATTAAACCAACGTCATAGAGATCTTGATGTTTAGCTTTTACTTCCAGCAAGACAGCTATTATTGCTCTATTTTCCTGTCTGTAAGCAAATCAAAAGCATGTGAATGGGTTACAATGTTTCTGTAGAGATAAGCCTTAGGTACAGAGGACAATAATATAGTCCAACAATTGAATGAATATTATATTGGTTAGAGTGGTGTTATTCTACTCTAGCTGGGTTTAGCTTCAAAACTTTCAATATTGCATTACCCTGACTTGTTATGTTATGCATTTTAGGATACAATAAATCATCATTCTGGTAAAGGATTTGATCAATTCTGCATTTGGTTTGTTTAGATAAGTGATGTCTACAACAGTCTTGAATTTGTGTAGACATTTTGCACTCATAAGTACTGAGGAGCGGGTCAGAAAGCTTGAATGTCACTGACTGTGACAGTGAAACCCAAAGATAACAGTTAAAGCTGGCGATACATGCACTTCTTAAAGTGTATGTACCAAAAAGTGAAAATACTAGCTAAAACATGCGGATCCTGAGTATTTAGTTTCCAGTTATACCAGACTCAGTATTGTGTTCCTCTGCTCTGGAATTGTGGCACTGATAGAGGCTCCTACGCAGCTCCAGGTTGTGGAACCACACTTGCAGGAATGTGTTGACGTAACATGTTGCACCCAGGTTGGTCAAGCCAACAAATGTGTTCTGAAAGGGGACAGAGACGGAGAGGATTTTCAGATATTCTTTCATCTCTGGTATTTTTGATTACTTCCCAGACTTCAGCAGTCCACTGACAACAGATGTGTGATCTTAGAAAAAAAGGAAGGCAAGGAAACAATATACAGTGTGAGTGGCAGATTAAAGAAATACCTTGTCGCGACGCTCTGAATTTGGGTCATCAATATTGTGGAAAGCATTTTCATCAATATCCCCAAGCCAAGCCTGTTCACCAATACCCACAAGACAGTTGGGATTCCCTTTGCAGTTCCTCCTGCAAGAGCAAGTAATGATTATTAACCTTCATGTTCCAATGACTGCCTTAGAATAATGAAACTGCCTCTATTTCTTAAATAAAGATAAAGGCCATGTCAAACTCATTCTAAACAAATCATACAGATAGGCATGTCCTGCATGCAAAGTTGCACACCCATTTATATAATTACAGCTAGGAGCCACAGAGCAAGCTAAAGTTTAGTAACATTTCAACTGTATGAATAGATGTTAACTGTGATGCCTCCTGTCTACCATCATTTACATTAGTCATTTTGTGGTATGCCGAATTAAAAGGTGCAGTGGATCTTCATGACATTTCAGACAAAGTCTACAAAGCTACCCTGCATGCTAGGAAGGCTTGTCCACAAGGAAGCAAACAAATCACACTTGTGATGTACAAAGGCATCCTTCTGTGGAGCTAGCCATTAAGTCATCAACTTTAAAATCAAATTAAACATATGTTACTGGTATTATTTACTGACACATGCAAGGACAACAAGGATTCGTTGTTCAAACATATTTTTTAATATCGTAACGTTACCTGCAGGTTCCTCTCTTGCAGGCCGGAAGATTGACGCGATATGCTAGCTCGATATGCTCCTGTCTTATTTCTTCTGGTTTCACCGTTTCCACCCAACGCCAAGCCGCTTTCTCCAGCTGTAAACGGGGCGCCATAGTCCTACGATGTAATGTTAACCACACAGTCAGGTATACGAGTCGGAAAATGCAACAATGTTATGGCCTAAGGTTAGCCAAACTGTTTCCAGGAATGCTAACATAGTCGGCTAAATAAGTTCCTACATGTCATAGCTTGGATCTTGCGAAGCAACCTACCGTTAGCTATGTGGTGCTATTTAACCTAGCAGCTAATATTAGCTTACTTGTTCCCTCACTACCCTATTGAACTTAAAATATGAGCATATCAACCCACACATCGCAATAATAAATAGAGCACTGAAAAACAAAAAAAACACGACAAAATATTTCCAGGACAACGCCAGGAGTGAGGACTGCCCTCGTGCTAATGTTAGCTAACTAGCTAAAATGTAGCCAGCCCGACCGGCAGTGTTAGCAAGTCATTTCCCCTGCATTTTCAATTCAACGTTACCTGACACTAACGTAACGAGTTTATTGTGTAAAGTTCAAATATTATCGAACCTTTCATGCGTGCAGCTGCTTCACCAAAAATATTTAATGTATTTTCACATTTTATTCACGGTTTATTTTAGATTTAGCGCCCTTGCGTCAATTTATAAATAAATTATTTCTCCGCTCAAAATCTTCTTCTTCTTCTTCTTTAAATTTGATTGGCGGGTCGCAACCAACTTGAATAGGTGCATACCGCCACCTACTGTACCGGAGTGTGCAGTTTCAGGGTAAAAGTTTCATCACTATTCTAACTGATAATAAAATAAAATAATATATATACACACACATATATACATATATATATATACATATATATACACATATATATATACACATATATATACACATATATATATACATATATATATATACATATATATATACATATACATATATATACATATATATATATATATA